GCTCCACATCTTTCTTGTGCTGGAGGGCCCAGGTCTGGATGCAGTACTGGGCCTCATGAGGGGAATAATCACCTCCTTCTCCCTGTTGGCCACCCAACTGCTGATGTTGCCTAGGATACTGTTGGCCTTCTGGGCTGCAAGTGCGCACTGATGGCACATATCAAGCCTTTTATCTACCAGAGACCCTGGGTCCTCCTCCGCAGGACTGCCCTCAATGAGTTCTTCTCCCAGCCTGTACACATATCAGGAATTACCCTGACCTGAGTGCAACACCTTGGTCAAGCCATTGCTCTCATGGCTACGGGTTTGTTGTTTAGACACAGTAATGTACAGATGGGCTTTGCATTTATCAAGAGTAATTACCAGCTGAGATGCTGAGTGGAGGGAAACTGTTATTGTCACGACTGACCAGAGTCTGGCAGCATTCTTTGTTGTTTGTGGCTTATTCTTGAAACTAGTTTTCAGCAATTAAACTGACCTCTTTGTAAGCTGAGCTCAGAAGATGGATGCCAATAATGGGAGAAGGGACACAGCTCAAGGCAAGAGGTTTAACCCTCTGCCTCTTGGTAAACTGCAGGAAGTCCACCATCATTTTATTTGCAGCAATTACAGGTGAACAATATAGCTCTGTGTAGGATTTCTTGCCTTTGAGGCACATTTAGTTAATTATTACCTCTTAATTTATTTTCTACTCTGGAATAGGTCTTGCTGTGGGAAGCGGGGTATAGGAAAAATGAGCTGGTACTTTTCAGTGACAAAGCTTCAAATATGGCATTGTTTTTCATACTTGCAATATTCAGCCACAGTATCCACAAGGGAGGTACCATAATTGCAAAATGCTATTTAAAATAATGGCGTGTTTTATAAGAGCTTCCAATGTCTCTCATAATATTTGCAGATAATCTGTTTGTCAATCTGTCAAGTAATTATTCTCCATCTGTGATATCCACTGATAACCAGTTAGACTTTTAAATTCATTTTTAGCGACACTGGTGAGCGCATCACTCGCCTGTTGAAAGAACAGAACACAAACATTAAAACAGTGCAAAGGCAATGTATTTATTATTGTAGCATGCAGCCAAACCTGCGTAATAGCTACTAATTAAAGTGTTAAGGCCTTAATTTTAGAAAGACAGAGAGGCTTTCTGCTTTTGCACAGTACCATACACACATCATTTTTATGCTTTGCTTTCTGTGATTAGTGACCAAGGTCTGGCATGAGACAATTTTACTTAATCAGCTGCATGCATTAAATACCAGCAGCTGCAATTAGACATTCTTTTGTGTCAGATATTGTGCCTCACGCTGCTATTTGCTCCTGACCTCAGATCCCTGAGCGGCAGGCACTTCTGCTGTCTTTGGAGATGAGCACAGTGAAATCTAAAATTCTTTTTTTCACAGCCTGGACATTGGCAGATGTGCATTCTCATTTTTGCCCCACAGCCCAAACAGAGCAACTTTAAAAGTGCAGCAGAAGTTCCTTTAAAAAACAGACTGGGAAGGAAAGGCGGGAATGAACAAAACCTCTGCTCCGTGCCTTAACACTTTCGAGTACATTGTTGGTTTGCGATGCTTAAGAATCACTTTGTATGTTACACATTAGCACTGAGTACCTAAAACAAGAGATCTGAGCTTTCCATTTGCTTTGCACGTCTATTTTATCGGGTCCTGTGCTCATAGCATCATTTTTTCCTAGCTGCAGTATCACAACCGGACGCTAGAGAGCTCCTTTTACCAAAGACATCTCTCAAACGAGAGGGCAGAACCCTGTGAGGTGCGTACAGAGCATTCCTCCTTTTTTTATATCGCACAGTTTTACTCATTTTTCATTTTTATGTTAAAAATTAATATTCTCAAGGGAAAGCTATCTTTGCCAGAAAGAGCAATGGCTGCAGCTGTAGCTCCACATCTCCTACCCCCAACAACAGAGATTCCATAGGAGTAGTAACTTGGGAACTAATTATACAATTTCAGAGATAAGAAAAAGTAAATCAAATGCTGCCAGCATGGAAATTATAATTAAGTTTTCCTCTGAATAACAAATACACTCCATATGTAATTTATTATGACTATTACTATATTAATAATGGTAATAGCCTATGCCATGCACCTATGGAGAGTACATGTTTTTGTCTAAATTGCTGGGTTATAGTCGCAGATGCAGTATGAATGCCAAACAGCTCTCTGCAGTCATTCTGCTGATAACCTTAAGCCTTACAACAGCCAAGCTATTCCTAAACACTACTCTATTAGCAAGTGATATAACAAGACGACGACTGGATCTACTTTTTTTATTAGCTGTGTTTGACCCGTTCCCCCAGTCGCCTTTACACTATCAATCATTTATTCAAAACCAAAACAAAATCTTCTATGCTGTCACTGTAAGGGCATATGAATTCCTGCTTCTCTGATTTTGGCATAAGCACAGTCTGCTGCAAAATGCTGCAATGATGTGACATCTTATCATATTGCCCATTAGGGATTTTGCATTAGGGTTGTTTTACAGATAGCTGCGTCCTGTGGTCAGCAGTGCGAGGGCACAACATTTTGTCTCCAAAGCAAAGCCCTGTCCCTCTCCTACCTCAGAATCTTGGAGTGCAAAGATTGAAAAAGCCCATAGGAAAACTTCAGAAAGGCTGAGGAAAGCCTTGCTCCAGCTCTCCCTGTGCTCCATTGTGGTTCTTGGCAAGGGCAAAGAAGTACCTCCTTCTATAAAGAGCTGTAACAACAGCTTTCACTGCAGTGCTTCCCAGTAGCACCAGCATGCCATCACCTATGTCCTTTGCTCTTGCCTACTCATCCCAGCATGAACTGGGAACACAAGAACCAGTGAAATCCAGAGTGTAGAGCCAACCCTCCTCAATCAGTTGTGTGCCTCAGAGGGAGGAGTGGGCCTTGCAGGTGTGCTGTCAGCTCCTGCCTGTGTTCCCTGCCCAAGATAGCTTTAGGCACACCTCCTAACTTTCCTGCACCTCCGCTCCTTCAGATTTTTTGAATGGTGGAACTAAAAGTCTTATTTTCTTTCACCATTTCTTTGCCTTGTTCCCCTGCTCAATCTGGGATCTGATTGGTTTTACCTAGAAAGCCAGATAAATGATGTTCTGAATTTTGAGGGAGTCTTTCTTCCAGGACAGCCCAACTGTATTAATGCCAGTGAGCTGAAATGTTCCATTAACATCTCTTTATTTTCTTTCCAAAACCTGCAAGTGACAATAGTAGCTGAGCCAGACTTTAATGGTAGCTTTTCTTTGTTCTTTTCAACCCACAGTCCTTTGAAAATGTAACGGTAAAAAAATAGATGAGATTTTCAGTTTAGAGCAGCTCCAAACAAGCTGGCTGAGGAGGTCAGTGTGGGAGGGGGAGGCTGCCTTTCTATTTATCTGAAAGTCTTTTCTTTTACAAACTGCTTGGTGTGAGCCTTGACCACGACATTATGCAACTCATACAGCAACTGCATCCATGCAAAGCAGGGCTCCGGCATGGCACTCATCAGCTCTCTTTCTAAATGACCTTGCTGCACCTAGAAAATCCTCTCTACCTTTGAGAACAGAGTGCCTCTAATGATAGAAACTGTAACGAAGTCCAACCATAACCTAAACTTGCTAAACTTCAGCTAACAAAATCTAAGGGCGTGGTGAAGACAGGGCTAGCATGTCTCTTACAAAACCCCAATTCTCAGAAAATTTGATTGTTTCCAGCCCTGGGAGCTCATGTTACACACTGGACAAACCTAGCAGGGCCCTGTCATTCGTCAGTCAGTTTTATGGCATGACAGCAGCCTGAAAAGTTGAAAACCAGTTTAACAAATTAAAAAATTTAATGGGATTCCCATTAAGTTCATCTGAGAAGTTTCATCTTCATCTGGGAAAAGAAAGAAGGAAATACCTTGGGATATATTTTCTTCATGGGGAGGATACATGGTCCCCACAGGCAAGAACAGCAAGGTGCTCACTGGACAGAGAAGCTTGCAATATTTCACAAAGGAAATGAAAATGTGATTCCTGTCAAGTCCCCCTTTATGAGTCCTCCTTTTCTCATTAACATTTTGTACAATCTGATACTCAACAAACAAAGATGCTAGCTGTGGCTGTCAGTTACTCTTCTTCCTTAATTTTATTTTGCTTCAGCTGACCAGAGAGCAAAGTTTTTGTAAGGTATCCAAGATCTCAGCATTGGCAGAACTCTTCCTAGAAACTGAATTTAACAGCTCTGCCAATTCAGCTGACAGATGTGTTTATTTCAGTGACAAATGCCCTGGGACCTTCTAGTCCCCTTTCTCTAAAAAAAAAATCCCACTTTTGCTTTATTCATCTCTCCCCAAAATATTTTGGAAGGTGGACTTAGGAAAAACGACTCTACAGAATTTGTATAAATCATTATTTAATGATCATGATCCATTGGCTATTCTTTTCATCGAGATGTAAGCTACTGTCATGCCAGACTGATAAGAGTTTATAGACCAGCAGTGGGTGTAAGTGGTCTCGCTGACACGAATACAAACCCAGCAGCTCAGCTTACTGCAGCTTAGAGTGGATTAATGTCCCATGTCTGGCAGACGCCAGCCTCATGCCAAAAAGACTAACCCAGTCTTTATGAACTTCCTGTTCCTCATGATGGTTGAACTGTGTCAATACTGAGATAACTAGAAATAGACCCAAATCACAAGCCGTGGATCTCTGCAGCACTTCTTCAAAGTCGGACTATGCCTGAATTTTCCTTGAGGCTCCTCTACAGCCCCTGCCTATTCAGAGCAAGCTCAGTATGTTCTTTGACTAATTTCACCAACAGATCCATTTAAGCAGTGGTAACCCTCAGGAAGTTAATTTGTCTTCTCTCCATCTTTTCCCAAGAAAGAATTAAGAGTGGAGAGGAGTACTGTGATTTGATAGAGTGGTTTGTTTGCTATTATTTTTGTTTCTACTGGGGAGTGTTGGCCTTTTGTACTGAGATGATGATGGGGATCATGGAAATCCTTTTTTTTTTTCTTTTTTTTTTCCCAGGTTTTGCAGAGAAACACTCATTATTCTTGAAGCAGAATCTGGGGAAGCTCCATCTCAGCATACATGACCTCTGTACAAAGAAAAAGGTTGCGTTGTGCCTGAGGAACAAAGCTCTAGAATTAAGTCTGTAACAGCTAAGATATGCTGGGCCATGGAGCATCTCTGCAAGCCTCCAAATAGCCCACAGGAAAATCTCAGAAGGACCCTGTGAGTGGCAGTTATGTAAGACAAAACTTGATCCAAGCCATTGAGTGCCATATCCTAGAGATAGGAGAAAATGGCAGGTGTGATGAACTGGGGCTGGGTGTGTTCATGGAGTTTTTGTGCTGTCTGGAGTTTCCTCACTTGGAAGGCTTCATATGTTGCTATTTTGCATTGCTCTGGACATGATGAAAAGTAGGAAAGCACAAACAAGTGAACCAGAGCATCATAAAGCAGCCTAGAATGAAATTTTTGGTGTAGTGGAGGCAACAGAAAACACCACTGAGAGGCACCAGTGAGCAGCTTTAGTGACAGTGAGCACACTGGAAATGCTCGCAGACTGGTTGGGTTTGATGCCTGCTTCTTTGAGGATGCAAAAGCTGTCCAGAAATTATCTAGAGTTTCACTGAAGTCACCCTAGGAGTGTTTCAGCTGATTTGCGGATGACTTCTAGCTTTGGCCTGAAGCCATGGGAAATGAGAATTTATGTTATATGTTCCTACCAGCTGAGAAGAAAGCTGGAGTGACATCAAGCTGGAGAATGGAGTGTAGGTGTGCATAAAGAGACATGGGAGAATTCACCTCCTTGGAGATATGTGATCCCACAGCCAGGAAGGAGTCCTGTGGCACCCACTAACAGGAGGAGCTGGAATCCTGAGCTTGTATATGCCTGGGGGAAAACAGGAAAAACACTTTCATGTCTCTATAGAGCATTTCAGGCAAGCCAGAAGTTTGCACTCAGGTGGATAAGTAGTCAAGTATCATTAATACATGTAGCTCTTATCCATAACCTTGCCAAACTCATTTTGTAACACAGCCGTAACCATGCAACAAAGCACTATGTGAACTAAAACAGGACAGAGATGATTTTACATGAAACAAAACAGGGTTTACACATTCACATACCCTCATGCTTTCAAACACCAAAACAAATGGGTCCAGTGCTCCAGCCCAGGTGACTTGTGGTGGTGAAGATGGAAAGTGACATCTGTAGGCATCTCAACACGTCTCCTAGGTTCTTCATGGACTGGAAGCCAAGTGCTGCTCTCGGATCTCCTAAGAGTTGACAGTGTGATCTTTTGTTTCCTCATCCTGTTGCACCCCTGGCTTAGTATTTGCTTTTCTGTCCTTATCTGGGTGTTTTATGGCTCCAAGCCTGTTCTTTTCTTCCTTTCATCACTTCTTGAGGGCTCTGGTTTATTAGCCTGTCCTTCATTTTGCTCAGTGTGTAGACTGTCTTCAGGGTGAGAAGGTTCTGGTAAGCCTCTCACAGATCTGTTAGCACCTTGGTGACCTGCTGGCTGAGGTGCCATCTGCACCTACCATTCCGCTCTTCTCTCTGGTGTTCCCACACTTAGGTAATCACTTTCATTCAAAAAGTTCTTAGTATTTTTATTAAAAATTCCTCACATCTTGCAACATATGTTTACCATCTACAGCAGATTCTCAAGAGTGCAAATGACTACTGAAGTAGCAAGGATCTCTAAAGAGGGTCCACTTTAGCCCACCTCCAGTCTGAGGGTCATTCAGACATATGGAACAACACAGAGAGAAAAGGGAGCACTAAAAAGCTGCTCCTAGCTGCCTCTTTCCCGCTCTATTTTCTCCTGATCCTGATCCTGCCCTTTTCAATTGGCCACTGAACTTGGATTTCAAATTATTTCACTTGAGAAGTTGTACGGAGTTTTATTGCTTTGCTTTTCACTGATCTATTGGCTGCCTGTGCATTTCTCAGCCACTTTCTGAAAACAGCAGCTGGTATAGGTGATGTTTGCAGGTGAAAAGTGGAGCTGCTTAATAGCTTTCCAGCTGATATAGCACCAGCATTGGATTAGGTCATTGTAATGGCAGCTGAAAACTTTGCTTTAACACAGCTTGAGCAGCTCAGTACACCTTGGTTTAGTGAGAAGAAGCAGTGTCCAGTGTGGCTCGTTAATGTACTGCTGTATCTCAAGTGTTTGTTCAACATGAGCACCAGAGAGTTGGGCACAGTGAAATAAAACCAGATCTGCATGCAAAAACAAAATTGAAAAAATTCACCTGAAAGAAAAATCCATATTCCTTTCTCAGTAGCTTTTATGAAAACTTTTGCCTTCCTCAAATTACAGTGACTCCATGCGGCTTATTCTACAATACAGATTTTAATATTTTTACTAAAATTTATTCCAGCTGTTGCTAATCATAGAGATATGAATAATATTATTATACAGAGAAAAATCTTGACTAGACTTGGTGCAGATTTATTCATTTGTAATTTTTCCATCTTAAATCCAAATATTAAAAGCCAGATGAAAGGAAGGAAAGGTAATTGTAACCACTGGTTTCTACTTCACCATGATGAAATTGAGCTTGCTCAGTAATCGAAGAATAAGTGTAGAGATTTCTATCAGAGTATCTGATTTTATCAGAACATTTTCAGGGACTGCAATTCAATGGAAACCAGGGACGCCAGATCTTTCATATAAATCACTTTTGGGAGAGGACTGCTGCTGAGCTCCAGCTCAGACATGCCCAGAAAAAAATCCACCAACTGAAGCTGAATAGGGAACACACTTGGGGTCTTCAAACTCTGCCATTACTGCAGCATGTAAACTTCTAGGAGGCAATTACATTGAGAAATGTGCTGCCATCTCTGAAGGCTGAGTCCAGTCATAGAATCATAGTATGGTTTGTGTTGGAAGGGACCTTAGATCATCCACTTCCATCCCCCCGCTATAGGCAGGGACACCTCCCTCTAGACCAGGTTGCTCAAAGCCCCATCCAGCCTGGCCTTCAATGCTTCCAGGGACATCCACACCATATCTGGGCAACCTCTGCCAGTGTCTCACCATTACAGGAAAGAACTGGTTCCTGATATCTAGTCTAAGTCTATTGATTCAATTCAGTCCTTGCCCAAAAATGCATCTTTCACCTCACCAAAGTCAGATTGTTCTTCACAATCCAGTGCCTCCGTGCAGTAGTGTTATGAATTCCAGCCACTAAGTATGGATCTGGGTTCTGTGTCCAAATCTATTTCTTATACTGCATTTATTTTCAGTGCCCAACCATACAGAAATTTACCCACATCTTTGCACAGCAGGAAGCATATAGTGCCTGAGTTACTAATGTCCATTTCTCAGGAAAGCAGTCCTTTAAAAACAACTTCTCTCCATCGAGGTCCTCTCTTCAAACAGCCTCACACTCATGCTGATCTGCTTTTGGTGAGAATCAGTGTTCCAGCTACAGCAAAAATGCACTTTGCACTGTAAGAGAAGGAAATAACTGTTGGGTCATCTAAGAGTCCTTCATTCATTCAGCCAAAAATGAGACTACCCTGAATTTAATTTTTTTGGTTCTGAGTCATTAGTTGATTTCTCTGGGAAAAAAAAAAACAAAAACATATCTAAAACTGTCTTGTTAATATTATATAGATGGATAAGTGACAGCTCTTATGACTCAGGCCCTTTGGGCTGCATTTATCCCTTGCTCTTATGCTATGAAACACACTCTTCCCAACAAAGGCAAGACTGAGAACTCTCTTTAGCTTTGGGAAAGTTCTGCAGTGCTTCCGGAGAAGGAAAACTGCAGATCCACACTGAATCAGAAAAGAAAAATGCACTCTTCTCCACTCCCCATCCCACCACGTGGCTCCACACCCCAAAGCAAGCACACAAGAATGTTGAGAAATATTACTATCCTTTGTCAGCAACAAGCCCGTCACTTTGCACACACTGTCTCATACCTCTCCCCTCTGTCAAACCATGGATGCTGCAGCACGGGGGCTTAAAGAACTTCTGTAATCCTGCCATTAGGCTAAAGCTTAAACTGGGTCTCTCCAAAGGCAGAAAAGGCATTTGTTGTATGAGCTGAAAAAAAGATTCCCTCTAATCCAGTAACAACTACAGCAAGCTTTTTTTCAGCTTGAAATCTCTGGTTTTACACGAGCATATGAAGCAGGTGTCAAATGGATCTAAAAATGGGTCACGGAGGATTCTGTTGCTCACCATCTGTGTCAGTGATGGGGAATGCACATCCACAGGGACCCCCGAGTACCGTGCGGTATCTCCTTGCTGATACAGCTTTGTAGAATGAAGGGCTTTGTGTTTTCAGTAGTGATACGTAGTGCGCTCTGTGTCTGCCCAGGAGAGGTGGTTGATCACAGGGCTGTGGGCTGAACCTCAAGCAGCTACAAACCTACTGAAAATGAAAGGTCTCCCCTGGGGACATCAGATAGCTTTGTCTCCAGAGGATCACAGGTCCAGAAAAAAGTAGGGTACAGAGGGCAAGAAGTTTCCTCTCCTGTTTGTGATTCTTCTGGCTCATAGCCGCAGTTGAAAGTGAAAGCAAAAACTTGAGAACTTCCACTGGGCTTTAGGAAGACTCTGCCAAGACAAACTTCCTGCAGCCTATACTGACCTAGAGGCAAATCAGTATGGCAATGAGCAAAACAGATCATCAACAGGATTGCTCTAGATCAGCCCAGCAAAGCATTCTGTTTTGTGTTTGTTGCAGTGCTCCCGGTAACTCCAAAGCCCCAATCCTATTTGGCTGCACAGAGTGAGGGGCTCTGGGTTGTGCAGATAGCTGCCTCACCACAGCTTCTCCAGCACAAAGCTTTAATGCTAAACTCAGCTCCGGGTTTTGCAGCACTCACAGAATCACCGAGGTCAGAAAAGACCGCTAAGATCACCCAGTCCAACCGTCAGCCCACCACCACCATGCCTGCTGACCACGTCCCTCAGTGCCACATCCACACAGTTCTTGAACGCAAGATGGCAATTTCCTTTCATAGCTGACAGAACACGGTGGCTGCCTCGTACTTTTTTCTTTTGGCTTTTTTTTTTTGCTTTTAACGGTATGAATGCAATCTGTACCAACCAAACATTGTATGCATGGCAGATAGAGTTTCATCCTGGGGCTACTGAAATCAATTGCGAAACCGTTCAGTAACTGACTACAAGCAGAAATCAATTGTACCAGTTACCAAATGGCTTAGTTGAAATGTAAAATTATTTGTTCAGAGAGCAAGAAACTATTTACTTGTGCTACTTCTGAAATCTACCTCTAGCTGGGACCAGATGGTAATTTAACTTTTAAATTGTATTTACTGCATTCTTATACTCTAATCAGTCAGTGCAAAGCTGAACTCTTCAGAAGTCCGCGCTTAAGCTTTAAACTTAAAACTTCTGCAGTTTCTCTCTGCCTTTGAGCTGTTGCCATCCTCAGACAGTAACAGATCAATCGGCGCTCGGCCCTTTGATGTGTAACAGTTCAGATGTGACTGCTGCGTGCGTACCCTGCCGTATGTTCCACTGTGAGTGGAGGCTGAGCCTCCCTACTTCACAAGTAATGAGCTCCGCTCAATTAGCAGAGCGAGTTTTTTGAGCGTTGTGTGTAATTGGTTTCAAGGTCTTCAGTTTTAACAGCCATTGTTAACAATCTTTTTATACCTCTGGCACAAAACTTGTGATTCAAATACAAGCAAACAGCCAAAGAGCTGGAGTGCTCAGCTACACACATGATCCTACAGCTCAGATATTCTCTTCTGAGAAGCAGTTTGGCTTTACATTTGAGGAGTGATGACATGGCTGCGTTAGGTAAAAACCCAAGGCCCGTGGGAGCAGGAGATCTATGATCATAGAGCTATAGAACCATAGAATGGTTGGGGTTGGAAGGCACGGGCTGCCCATAGAAGCTGTGGTGCCCCATCCCTGGAGACACTCGGGGCCAGGCTGGATGGGGCCCTGGGCAGCCTGAGCTGCTGGGTGGCAGCCCTGCCCATGGCAGGAGTTGGGGCTGAATGGGCTTTGAGGTCCCTTCCAGCACAACCCGTTCCATGGTTCTGTGATTTCAGCAGACTGTATTCTCTTGGTGAAAGGAGCTCTTCCTTCATGGTTGACTTGAGCATTATTTGTCTATCTTACAAATATTTTCTTGAGAGAAGAAAGTGAATATTGGAAGGATCTTTTCATGCAGCATGGAGAAATGGTAGCAGTGTTACCTCCCCACAAAGGAAGCTCGACAAATCCATGTTAACTACACTGTCTGTATGACATTTTGATGAGTGCATAGAACAAGTAAGAAAGTACATAGGAGGCTTTCTCCTGTGTAAACTCCAGGTTCCCATACAAACTCAAGGTGCTGTAGCCTGGCTTTGTGTGCCCACACTCACAGGAGTGCTGGGAAGTCAGCAGCAGAACAGCAGCCCAGCACAGTAAGTGGTATCCCGACAGGGACAAGCCCTGGGAAGAGCTCCACTAAGGTCACATCAGCCTCTTGAGGGGAAAGTTTGACTCACAGCCCCACTCCTGCCAGGGTTTCCTTCTGTTCCGGCTGTCCTGGTTGGAGCCAAGTGCTATCTGTAGCTATTATAGAAGCCCAGCTGAAAAGCCTGTTTTCTTTTTGCTGTACTTGGAAAACCCCCAGAGTGCTAAAATATCTTGAGGGTAAAAGCATTCATGGAGCAGGCTGGCCCTGGACAGCCTGCAAGAACCCTCCACTACTTCTGCTGCACCCTTTTCCCACGCATACACGAGGCAGTGGCAAACTCTATGCAGTGTGACTTAATTCAGGGAGAAATTCGGGATGTGCCCAGGATGTCAGAATCATGGAATCATCAAATGGCCTGGGTTGAAAAGGACCACAACGACCATCGAGTTTCAACCCCCCTGCTATGTGCAGGGTTGCCAACCACCAGACCAGGCTGCCCAGAGCCACATCCAGCCTGGCCTTGAATGCCTCCAGGGATGGGGCATCCACAGCCTCCTTGGGCAACCTGTTCCAGTGTGTCACCACCCTCTGTGTGAAAAACTGCTTCCTAATATCTACCCTAAACTTCCCTTGTCTCAGTTTAAGACCATTCCCCCTTGTCCTATCACTATCCATCCATGCAAACAGCCATTCCCCCTCCTGTTTATATGCTTCCTTCACATACTGGAAGGCCACAGTGAAGTGTCCCCGGAGCTTTTTCTTCTCCAAGCTAAACAAGCCCAGTTCCCTCAACCTTTCTTCATGCCCATTCACCCTACTTACTCCAAGCTCTTTGCCAAGCAGCGCTAGTTCTTTTGAGTAAGTGAGTGAACGGGAGTTATCGATAGGCCACGAGTGGGTCGGGTTGGGCGGGATGGGCTCCTACAGCAAAGCCACCACGGTGATGCTTTGATGGAAATTTTGGAAGAGGGGCAGCTTGATCAGAATAGGGAAAACAACCCCCGTGGCACCGCAACGCCTCCCGTCCCGCAGAGGCTGCTCGGCACAGCATGGTTGCGGTGCCCGGGTGGGCTCTCCGGCTGAACGCGGCCCAGGGACCGAAGCCACCGCCGCACCGCTCCGCCCGGAGCTCCGCGCCCCGCCCGGGCCGAGCCTCCCCCGCGGCGGGCGGAGGTGACAGCACGGCAAGGAGCATGCGTGCAGGGGGGTAGGGAGGAGGAGGAGGAGGAGGAGGAGGAGGAGGGGAGGAGGAGGAGGAGGAGGGATGGCGCGGGGAGGCGGCCGCTGTTTATTTGCAGCCGGGCAGGCTGCGCCCCGGCAGAGCGCGAGTGGCCGCCGCCGGCGCCGCCGGTGCCGCTGCCCGCCCCGCAGCATGCGGGCGGCGGAGCCGGGGCTCCCAGCGCGGCTCTCCGCGCAAGGTCCCGCGCCATGGTGACGGGCTCGGCGCTGGGAAACCGCAGCCGGGACCGAGCCGCGCCGCCGCCGGCCCCGCGCCCCTCGGTGCCGCCGCCGGGGCGGTGCGGCGGGGCGGCGGCGGCGGCGGTGCTGGCGGGGCTGTGCGCGCTGTGCTACGGCAACTCGCTGCGGGGAGAGTTCGTGCACGACGACGTCTGGGCCATCGTCAACAACCCCGACGTGCGGGCGGCCGCTCCCGTGGCCGCCGCTTTCGCCAACGACTTCTGGGGCAAGCGGATGGCTGAGAACACCAGCCACAAGTCCTACCGGCCCCTCTGCGTCCTCACCTTCAAGTAAGTGCCCGGGGCCGGGTGATGATGCCGCGGGTGCGCCCCGGCCCCGACGGTGCGCGAACAGGTGTCTGCGGGCGGCCGGGGGGGACGGGGCGCTCGGGGAAGCGCCTCCGAGTGAGAGGTGCGCAGAGCGACTTCCCCCGAAGTTCTTCCTGCCTCTCAGCCCTCTGCTTTATCCCCAGTACTTCGCTCCGCGGTTGGGTGAGCGTGCCGGGAAGTTGTGCCGTTCCGAAGCGGAGCCGTATCCCCAGCTTAGCCGCTCCCCGCGGCCGCCGCGCTTTTCGCGGTCCCCGCGCGGTCCCCGACCGGAGTCCCGGCTCTACGGGGAGGGAAAGAGAGGTCGGGGAGCAGCAAAGAATTGACGGTTCTTTCGCTAATCCCAGGAGGAAGAACGAGATCCTCTCCTCCTTCTCCTCTCAGAGGAGAACGTGTAGCAGCTCGGCGCGGTCACCAGTCAGTCGTTTCGTCAGCTTTGGCGTTAGCTTGTTCTCTGTTTGCCGTGTTCTGACGTAACACAAATGATGGTGAATGTTTACTCCGTTTTAGTATTTAAAAATGTTTGAGTGCTTGCGGGGAGCTGCGCGGAAGAGCTGATGTAGCGGATGATGCCGAGCACGGGGCTCCCGGTGATCAGCAGTCCGACTCTGTGCATTGTGAACCTCAGGCGGTCCTAAGGAGCAAACTCTATGGGCAGCACGAAGTGTGCCGGGAGGAGGTGGTGGTTAGGACCTGCTGAGTAACTGTCCATTCAAATACCTGGTATTTATAAATAACATCTCACGAACTCTCAGAAAATAGAGCCTTTCTGTAAGGCAAGAACAGTTAGGGGAAATCCAGCATCCTTGTGCTGTAAGGACAAGCTTAGAGCTGAGAGCAGTCGGTACCAGCTATTTGGGAACCGTGGCTGGGTGGAACATCCCCCATGCACAAAACTGAATAGTGCAGATGCCCACGAGCTGCATTGTTCAGGACAGACTGTATGTGTTCTTGAGGCAGTTCTAAGCAGGTTTCCGCAGAGAACGAAGGGGTAGGAGGCTGCCCTGGGCAGAGCCAGCTCTGTGCACATGGACTGCTTCCTCCGTTAGGTGCTCAGCCAAACTGTTGCATGGCTGGGGAGCCCTCCGGTGGATCCATTACTCCCACAGCACATCAGTGGGTAATTCAAGAGGTGAGCGAACCTCCACACATCACCATGCAGCTACGCTGCTGGACTCGCTGCTGGCCTTGGCTGTGTAGATCAGGTTGTGGAGTTGAGGTCAAATTATGCTAATTAACAGTCTTAAACTTTAATAATGGAATGGAAACTGAATGCTTTAGATCACATTTATATATCTTGACGGAACTGGTTTACCCTTTGCTATTTGAAGAAAGAAAGAGGAAAAGGGGAAAATGAGGACGAAACACTGTCCCATCTACTCCTTTTTGGAAACCAGTGAGATAGACTTTCTGAGCAAGACTTCATTTTCAAGTGCGTATAATAACCATACAGCCAAAGCCTAGGGTCAAAGGCACAGTCATTTGTTCACTGGTTGGCACTGCATTTAGAATAAGGAAGGGATCATTTATCTTCCCTGGCTGCAGAGGAAGGCTATTTCCAGTGTCCCAAATACCCTTCCAGCCCTCTGCATTTCCTCATTCTTCTCACTCCCTACCTCTCAGTAGGGTGCCAGAGGCAGATGTTAAGATCTGCGTTGGAATGGATCCTCTGTACCCAGTGCTCCCAAGCAGGATGCAGTGAGAGCGTTCTGCCAGATGATGCTGAACTGTGGCTGAGCTGCATGCTGCTTGCTCTGATGTCCTGCCTGGCACCACTTTGCTGGTTGTACTCTGTTCTCCTGCAGGAGGAGAAAGACTCTACCCCACTGGTTGTTAAATGCTCGACAGGAATGGTCTTTTAACAAAATTGAAATGAATGGCAGCATGATTCTTTGCATCTTCCTGTGGTCATTTTCACCTGGAAGACTTGCCTACCTACAGATCCTCAGTACACAGATACTTTGTCTCCATCTCTTTTCTGTCCTTTGCGGCTGTGAAAGTGAAAGGACTCATGATGCCCCGTAGACTTGTCATTTAACGGAGCACATCTTTCATGCGTGCTACATATTCTTGAAACGATCTCAATTAAAAGAATTTATCACTGCTCTGTCAAAAAAAAAAATCTTGACTAAACACTGCTGAAATCTTGTAACGGTGGCTCAGCATCCCTCACTTATTGGAAATCCTAAATGACAGTCCTAATTCTAGCAGATTAACGCTCTAGAGCCAAACAGTGAAAAGAGCTCAACTATTTGGCGCTATTCGCACTGGGTCTGTCAGAATGAATGATGAGAGGAAAATATGAGTGGCCTGTGCTACTAGAATCACTCAGCAAAACTTAAACATTTTCACACATCTGCTGCGTTTTCTTTTTGTCTGCGTGTGGGTTAACATCAGAGGGAGAAAAAGCCTGCATGTGAACT